TTGGTGATTCAGTAATATTAACTGCACACCTTATCAAAAGTTATTAGATTATTACTGGCTATTACTATTGCTTCAAACATGTCAAAAAGATACAAGCTTGTTCAAGAGCCAAGTCCATCAACAAAGAAACCCCATTCCTCTACTGACTGTAGCAAGCATGTGCTTTGTCTAAGGAGACACGGGTCCAGAGTTGATTAATCCAGCAGAATCAAAAAGAGTATGTTAGATTTGGCTATCAAACTCCAGTAGAAAATCTCAGACATTTTCATAAGCTGAACGCACTTTCTATATTCACAGACATATGCCAATTAGATTAGTCTTTTCAATACCATAACCATAAAGAAGAACAATGGATGTTAGCACAAATCCTGCTACATCAAGTTTAACAGGACCAAACTTAAAAAGACTGAGGGAAAAAAACAACTCTGAAAGCTGACAAACTGCAGAGCAAATACACACGTTTAAGTGCCCAACACAAATGCTATCCAGAAAAAGAAGCCTGTTTTATTTGTGAAATGAACATACCATCAGAAGTATCAGAGGGGTAGCCATGTTAGTTGGTACCCACAAACACAACGAGGAGTCCGGTGGCACCTTAAAGACTAATTTGGGCATATGGTTTTTTACCCACAAAAGCTTATGCCCAAATAAATCTGTTACTCTTTAAGGTGCCACCAGACTCGTAGTTTTTGTGGATACCATCAGAAGACCTCAATGAAGTTTCTACCCTTGGCATTAAGAGTTAAGTCTGCCAGTGTGCATTTCAGCTAAAAGACCAGTACTTGCTTGCAAAACTAAGTGCAGGGGACACAGTAGCCCAAAAGGCAAAGTATCATGCAAGATGCTTGGTATCTCTCTACAAAGTCACGAAGAAGAACACCGACAGAAAAAACAAGATGATGTTGCATGGGATTCCCCTTGATGAACTAACTGACCACATACACTGAAGAGACAAGACGGAATAAAGGCATGGTTTCAGCATTTAAAAACTAGCAGATCTCATAAGGCTCTACATAATGAGGGGATGACCCTGGATGGGCACATTCACAGCACTGAACTAAAATCCCATGTTCCTTGCCTCCAGAAAGGATATTGGACATGTCCTCCAAAAAGCATATGAGAAAGACTGACAAAGAAGTACTTCACCTGTCCTAAACAGCTAAAATCATTCAAAGAGACATGATTCAAATGAAAACAGTTTACTGGATCATCTAACACAGGATGTGAAGCAAAAGCTATGCGCAAGTCACTGCTGGCGCCGATGTCCAAGGTATCAGATGGCCCAAAAACATCAGAACTCAGTCATTACAAGTTTCCATTCATCCAGCTACCCTCACTTTGGCACAACAGTTACAGTACAATAGCAACATCCATCGCTGTGAAGGAACAAAAAGTTTGTACCACGACAAAGCTCAAGAAATGCCTTTACAACAGTGGTCCCTGAAATGTGGGGCACACCCCCCTAAGGGAGCAGGGAGGAACGTCTGGGAGCCATGGTGGGGCCTGAGCCAGCTCCCCAGGGGCAGGGAGGGAGTACCAACCAGCTCCTCCCCCCCGCAGCTCTGCTCCAGTCCTGCCCCCAGCTACGTCCCTGGCTCCCAGCCCCACGCCTGGCCCCATCACCAGCCTCAACACAGCTCCGCTCCTGATCCCATGCCAGCCCTCAGCCACTGCTCCATTCCCAGCCTGGGGCCAAGGCTGGGAGTGGAGCCACACCTAGCCACAGGCCCCACTCCTGGCCCAGGCTGGGGCCACAGCCAGGGGCCTTACCCTTGTCTGCATCACCCCCTTCCCCCCAAAGCCATGGCCCCGCTCCCAGCCCCAGGGGAATGGGGAGACAACCCTCAAAAATGTGAGGACCACCACTTTACAATCTTCATTTGTTTGACACTTCATGCAGAGACATTAAAAAGGGAGCTTGCAGATACCATTTTAAAACTTTGATTGTCCATCTCCTATGACAAAACGTTAGCCATTTCTACCAGCATGGCAAACAGCGCATGCCAACACTGAGGACGAGAAATAGTCTGTCCTCTAAAACTTCATGGTGGTCTGTTTGCTGCTGTTGCGTACACAACATAGTTCATAATTCCAGAAAACCAATGTTCCCATTCTTACTGCAAATGCTGAAATCAAGACTGACTGCCAACTGATTACCAAGCCCTGCAAGAAGAATGCTTTTTGCCTTTCTTATTCAAGCCACCCGCAAGCCTGGATACCTTCAGTGGAGATCAAGCCATTTCCTGGACAGCTTACCATGCCAGCGAACAGCCAGTGCCAGACATCACCCAGGTCATCACTGCACTTCTTCCCCCACTTTCCAGCTGACTTTAAGTCTGTGGCAATGATTCATCACACCATGGATATACACCACCTAAACCATTTCAATCATAAATTCATTTAAAATATCAACAGCATTCAACAAACCTTCACCTCTGTATTCAGCAATTTACTTATGGCATTCAATGCACCTACATCGTGCTTTGCCAAGAATTCTTCTACAGAGGTACCTAAAGTACATCCTCATTTCCCTTATGTTACTAAATTGCTCTACGAGAGAACTCTACAGTGGCCCCAGAAGATAGGTCACTACTCTCTGTTGGGGGAGAAATGGGGCAGCATTTAGAGCAACTGAAATTAATGTCAGTGGTATCTTTTTGTGGGCACCAAGATGTTGAAATTATAATTAATTTTATGAATACGGGTACCATCAGACAGTAATTCCTTTATTAAATAAAAAGGACAAATAGAACAACTGTATAAATACTAAATGTCTAAATAATAAGCAATTACTACATTCATACAGTAACAAACATTCAGAAGCATTTGATCAGAATACTCATGAAAGGATCAGTCCCAGGGATAACACTCATCCTGGCTTGCTCCAACATGTTCGGATAGGATCTGATAAAAACCCCTAACAAGCCTTGCTCCTTTATATAGGGCTAAAACAATATTTCCATATTGACCATTATTAGCTTAGCTACAAAACAAGTTTTGGCCTGTTTGGGTACGACCCCTTTCTTCGCCTTGGCTAAAACAACATATATAGCTGGAAAAAGAAAAGGAGTACTAGTGGCTCCTTAGAGACTAACCAATTTATTTGAGCGCAAGCTTTCATGAGCTACAGCTCACTTCATCGGATGCACGCAGTGGAAAATACAGTGGGGAGATTTATATACACAGAAAACATGAAACAATGGGTGTTACCATACACACTGTAGCAAGAGTGATCAGGTAAGGTGAGCTATTACCAGCAGGAGGACGGGGGAGGGAACCTTTTGTAATGCCAACTATATCCACATATCTATTCATGGGACACCATCATAGGGCCTAATCACATCAGCCACACTATCAGAGGCTCGTTCACCTGCACACCTACCCCTCCACCCCCACTCTCCTACAGGTAATAGCTCACCTTACCTGACCACTCTTGTTACAGCGTGTATGGTAACACCCATTGCTTCATGTTCTGTGTATATAAATCTCCCCACTGTATTTTCCACCGCCTGCATCCGATGAAGCGAGCTGTAGCTCACGAAAGCTTATGCTCAAATACATTTGTTAGTCTCTAAGGTGCCACAAGTACTCCTTTTCTTTCTGCGAATACAGACTAACACGGCTGCTACTCTGATATCTGAAACATATGGTAGCTGGGATTCTCTCTTTCAAATTATCTTAAATGTGTGGATCTTAAAACTAGCTGCACCTAGCATTTTATCTTCCCACAAAGGCCCATATTTTAAGATAACATATGTATGTGAGGATATTATACATTTATCAGATTAAAAAAAATACTTGTCTGTAAGAATCATTTTCTAAACAGTCTTCTATCATTTACAGACTGTTTACCCAGAAGCCTCCTTTTTGTCTTATTAGCCATATAACAAGCTTGGCATCCTCCAAAAACTTGTCTTACTAGATGCCACCCTCCTCCTACCCCATGAACCTGCTCTTTTTCAAGGCCTTATTAATTTGCTTAACCACCTACATAAGCTACAAAGCACACGTAATTTTCCTATCCAAGCTAAACTAACCTTATCCCTTTCATCCTACACCCTATAAAATTACTATAACTCAGCTGTTCTCAAACTTAATTGCACCACGACCCCCTTCTGACAATAAAAATTACTATACAACCCCAGGAGGAGGGACCAAAGCCTGAGCCCACCTGAGCCCTGCCGCGCCAGGTTGAGGGGAACACAAGTCAAAGGGTGAGCCCCACCACTCTGGGTGGAGAAGCTGAAGCCCAAGGGCTTCAGCCCCATGGGGGAAGCTGTAACCTGAGCCCTGCCATCCAGGGCTTCGGCCAGCGTGGTGGAGATTGGGCTTCAGCCCCAGGCCCAAACACATCTAACACCAGGCCTGGGGTCCCCACCCACAGTTTGAGAACGGCTGCTATAACTGTGATGGGAGAGAAGATACTGCCCCCCTCTTTCAGGGGTCCTTTGGGGATTTGTACTGAGACCCCGTCGCCGTTTCTCCTGGGTGGCCGGCTGGGTACCAGTCCCGCAAGCTGCTCCACGCAGGAGCAGCTCCTTGAGGGGCAGAGACCTTGGCGAATCTCTCCCCCGCCTCTGCGGGGGATTTTCCACCCTGCCACGAGAGGACAAGCCAAGCCGCAGCCCGGGGCGGGACTGTTCCAACTCCAGGCTGCCGGGGGCCAGGGCCTGAAAAGCGTCTTCAAAACTTTCCTGTTGAAAAGCGGCTCGATCCCCAGCGGGCGGCGTCCCCCGAACACCCCGCCCGGGCTCGCAGCGGCCCCCGCCAGGCAGGAGAGCGCCGCTCATGCCGGGGCTGGAGCCGCCCACCTTTGGAGAGACGCTGGAGTCCCAGCCCGGGTCCTTTAACACCGCTACGGTGTAGGGAGGACGGGACGGGACGGCCCGAGCCCGCCCGCACGGATCCCCGCACACCCGGGGCTCTTCCACACGAGCCCCGGCAGCACCAGCCCCTGAGCCCGGCCCCCCCGCGGCGGAGGGGAAGGGGCCAATCCGTACCTGTCTGGCAGCTCCGGCTCCCCGCGGCCTGCGCTTCCCGCCGCCGCCGCCGCCGCCGCCCTCCCGCCGCCGGCGCGCTGTCTCCGGACGGGAGCGGCGGGGTCCGGGGCCTGCGGCTTCCCCCCGCCAGGCTCCTGCTCCAGGGCCAGCTGGCTGGAGCCGTAGAGCAGCGAGCACAAGCCGCAGCCCAGGCACAGCAGCGCCACCCGCACGTAGCGCCGCATCCTGCCCCGGCGGCCGGGGCCCAACCGGCAGCGCGGGCAGCGCGAGCCCGGACCCAGCGGCAGCGCGAGCCCCGCGCTGGGGTCACCGTGGCGCTGAGGCAGCAGCGTCCTGCGTGTGGGAGGGGGCGGGGCTGGGAGGAGCCAGGGGGCGGGGGCAAGTGGGGAAAGGCGAGGGGGCGCCCGAGTGGCGCGGTGATGACGGGTCGGCGGGGGTGGCCGGAGGAGCTGAGGTAGAAGGGGGAACGGGAAGAAAGGGAGCCGTGGCAGGGGCAGTCAGACACGGGGGCGCTTGCACCGCGCTCAGGGTGTGCGTCTCACCACCCAAGGCCGTGCGTTCAAAAGCCGTGTTAATTGCTGCAGCCTTAAATAGCGGCTGGTTTCCAGTCGAGCAGAGTCGGGAAACAGTGGCCGCGCTTGCAACATACAAAGAAAAACACAAAATTTCCCTTCTCCCTGACTTTTAGGTGATGCTAGCAGAGATGATCTGCCCTTTGGGAGGGGGGAAACAACTTTCCTCAGGTGAAAAGAAAAGGAGGACTTGTGGCACCTTAGAGACGAACAAATTTATTTGAGCATAAGCTTTCGTGAGGTGCCACAAGTCCTCCTTTTCTTTTTGCGGATACAGACGAACACGGCTGCGACTCTACTCTGAATCCTTTCCTTGGGTGATTGCTTTCCCTGCTGCGGTGGTGGTGGTGGTGAAAGGCTGATCCGGTTCCCTTTAAGGCAAAAAAATCACAGCTTTTGTCTTGCAAAGTAGCTGCTAGGAAATTACGGCCGCGGCGCACAAATCTGACCCGCTATTCAGCCTTCATTAGGGAAAAAAACGTGTGGCCTTAAGTCAACACACGGTAAAATCCTAGTGAAGACAAAGTAGAGTTTTAGTGTCCATATGAGTTAGCAGATCAACTAGGTAAACTATGTCTACACTGCGAAATTAGGTCAAATTTATAGAAGTCACTTTTTTAGGAAGCGATTTTATACAGTCATTGTGTGTGTCCCCACTAAGCACATTAAGTCGGCAGAGTGCGTCCACAGTACCGTGGCTAGCGTCAACTTTCAGAGCATTACACTGTTGGTAGCTATCCCACAGTTCCCATAGTCTCTGCCGCCCATTGGAATTCTGGGTTAAGCTCCCAATGCCTGATGAGGCAAAAACATTGTCACGGGTGTTTTTTGGGTACATGTCGTCAGTCACCCCTCCCTCTGTGAATGGCAGACAATCTTTTCACACCTTTTTTCCATGCAGATGCCACACTGCTTTCAGCAGACTGCAGTAGGACTGCTAAGGGTCATTGAACCACCGCTTCCGCTGCAACTCTGCTCTCCTGCTTTCATGAATGTACCTCACAGGTCCTTTCGTCATTCTCTATAAATATCTATTCTCGTGGCATCCGTCGTCAGCCTCTGCTTCCATTGCAACTCTGCTCTCCTGCAGATGCCATACCACGGCAAGCATGGAGCCCGATCAGATCACCACGGCAGTTATGAGCATTGTAAACACCGTGCACGTTATCCTGCAGTATGTGCAGAACCAAAACCTGCAAAAGCAGGTGAGGAGGCAACAGTAGCGCAGTGACAAGAGTGATGAGGACATGGACACAGACTTCTCTCAAAATATGGGCCCCAGCAATTTGGACATCCTGGTGGAAATGGGGCAGGTTCATGCCATGGAACGCCGATTCTGGGCCTGGGGAAACAAGCACAGATTGGTGGAACCGCATAGTGTTGCAGGTCTGGGATGATTCCCAGTGGCTGCGAAACTTTCGCATGCATAAGGGCACTTTCATGGAACTTTGTGACTTGCTTTCCCCTGCTCTGAAGCACAGGAATACCAAGATGAGAGCAGCCCTCACAGTTCACAAGCAAGTGACAACAGCCCTCTGGAAGCTTGCAACGCCAGACAGCTACCAGTCAGTCGGGAATCAGTTTGGAGTGGGCAAATCTACTGTGGGGGTTGCTGTTATCCAAGTAGCCAACGCAATCACTGAGCTGCTGCTATCAAGGGTAGTGTGGGAAATGTGCAGGTCATAGTGGATGGCTTTGCTGCAATGGCATTCCCTAACTGTGGTGGGGTGATAGACGGAACACATATCCCTATCTTGGGACCGGACCATCTTGGCAGCCAGTACGTAAATTGCAAGGGGTACTTTTCAGTGGTGCTGCAAGCACCGGTGGATCATAAGGGACGTTTCTCCGACATCAACGTGGGATGGCCGGGAAAGGTACATGACGCTCGCATCTTCAGGAACTCTGGTCTGTTTGAACAGCTGCAGGAAGGGACTTACTTTCCATACCAGAAAATAACTGTTGGGGATGTTGAAATGCCTATAGTTATCCTTGGGGACCCCTTAATGCCATGGCTCATGAAGCCATACATGGCACTCTGGACAGTAGTCAGGAGCTGTTCAACTATGGGCTGAGCAAGTGCAGCATGGTGGAAGAATGTGCATTTGGACGTTTAAAAGCATGCTGGCGCAGTTTACTGATTCAGTTAGACCTCAGTGAAACCAATATTCCCATTGTTATTGCTGCTTGCTGTGTGCTCCACAATATCTGTGAGAGTAAAGGGGAGACGTTTATAGCAGGGTGGGAGGTTAAGGCAAATCGCCTGGCCGCTGGTTACATGCAGCCAGACACCAGAGCAATTAGAAGAGCACAGCAGGGTGCGCTGCGCATCAGAGAAGCTTTGAAAACCAGTTTCATGACTGGCCAGGCTACGGTGTGACAGGTCTGTTTGTTTCTCCTTGATGAAAACCCACCCCCTTGGTTCACTCTACTTCCCTGTAAGCCAGCCGCCCTCCCCCCTTTGATCACCGCTTGCAGAGGCAATAAAGTCATTGTTGTTTCAAAATCATGCATTCTTTATTCATTCATCACACAAATAGGGGAATAACTGCCAAGGTAGCCCGGGAGTGGTGGGGGAGGAGGGAAGCACTGGGTGGGGTGGTGGAGGAGGGGACGAGGGAAGGACAAGGCCACACTTCACTTCAAAACTTATTGAATACCAGCCTTCTGTTGCTTGGGCAGTCCCCTGGGATGGAGTGGTTGGGTGCCTGGAGCGCCCCCCCTGCCCCATCGCATTCTTGGGCATCTGTGTGAGGAGACTATAGAACTTGGGGAGGAGGGCAGTTGGTTACACAGGGGCTGCAGCGGCAGTCTGTGCTCCTGCTGCCTTTCCTGCAGCTCAACCATACGCCAGAGCATATCAGTTTGATCCTCCAGTAGCCTCAGCATTGCCTCCTGCCTCCCCTCATCATGCTGCCGCCACCTATCATCTTGATCGCGCCACGTCTCCTCTTGCTCCCGCCACCTCTCCTCTCGCGCATCCCTCCTGTGCTCGCGTTCATTTTGTGCTTTCCTGGAATCTGACACTGCTTTCCTCCACGCATTCTACTCAGCTCTTCCAGTGCAGGAGGACTGCATGAACTCAGAACATTTAATCACGAGTGCGTTTTTTTCGCCTTCTTATCTGCGCTAGCCTCTGGGATGGAGATGATAGGGGGAGCGTTAAAATATTTGCAGCTGTGGGGGGAAAAAAAGGGAGAGTAGTATTTAAAAAGACATTTTAGAGAACAATGGGTAGACTATTTCATGATGAACCAAGCTGTTAACATTACATAGTACATGTGCTTTTGGTGCAAGGTCGCTCCCTCCCTCCCCATCCCCAGTTTGTGGGATGATCGCTTCACCCCTCCCCACACCGCATGGCTAACAGCGGGGATGATTTCTTTTCAGCCACAGGCAAACAGCCCAGCAGGAACGGCCACCTCTGAATGTCCCCTTAATAAAATTCCCCTATTTCAAGCAGGTGATCATGAATGATATCACTCTCCTGAGGATAACACAGAGAGATAAAGAACAGATGTTGCTTGAATGCCAGCAAACACCGGGACCATACGCTGCCATGCTTTGTTATCCAGTGGTTGCAGACTATGTGCTACTGGCCTGGCGTGGTAAAGCGTCCTACTATGGAGGAAGGAATAAAGCTGCCGTCTCCAGAAACCTTTTGGAAAGTCTTTGGGAGTACCTCCAGGAGAGCTTCATTGAGATGTCCCTGGAGGATTTCCACTCTATCCCCAGACACGTTAACAGACTTTTCCAGTAGCTGCACTGGCTGCGAATGTATCCCAAGTCTTCAGGGCAAATTAATCAGGAAACGTGCTTGCTTTTAAACCATGTATTATATTTACAAAGGTGCCTCACCAGAGGTGCCTTCTCTGCCTTCAAGGTCTGGGAACACACCTTGGGAGGGTTGGGAGGGTATTGACTCCAGGGTAATAAACAGTTCCTGGCTGTTGGGGAGAACGGTTTCATCCTCCTCATCATCATGATCTTCCTCGTCCCCAAAATCCTCATCCCTGTTGCGTGAGACTCCCCCCTTGCAGGAGTCCACGTACAGGGGTGGGGTAGTGGTAGGGGCACCACCTAGAATTGTATGCAGCTCATAGAAGTGGCATGTCTGGGGGTCTGACCCGGAGCGGCCGTTTGCCTCTTTGGTAGGTTTGCCTGAGCTCCTTAATTTTCATGCAGAACTGCTGCAGGTCCCTGTTATAGCCTCTGTCCATCATGCCCTTGGAGATTTTTTTCAAATATTTTGGCATTTTGTCTTTTGGAATGGAGTTCTGATAGCACGGATTCATCTCCTCATACAGCAGTCAGATCCAGTACCTCCTGTTCAGTCCATGCTGGAGCTCTTTTGTGATTCTGGAACTGCATGGTCACTTGTGCTGATGAGCTCTGCATGGTCACCTCTGCTGATGACCTCGCCATGCTGGCCAAACAGGAAATGAAATTCAAAAGTTCCCGGTGCTTTTCCTGTGTACCTGGCTAGTGCATCTGAGTTGAAAGTGCTGTCCAGAGCGCTCAATGGAGCACTTTGGGATAGCTCCTGGAGACCAATACCATCGAATTGCGTCCACACTACCCCAAATTCGACCCGGCGATGTCAATTTCAGTGCTAATCCCCTCGGCGGGGAGGAGTACACAAATCGATTTTAAGAGCCCTTTAAGTCAACAAAATTGGCTTCATCGTGTGGACGGTTGCAGAGTTAAATCGATCTAATGCTGCTAAATTCAACCTAAACTC